CGAAGCTAGATCTTTAATGCTTAAATAATTTATTGTGAATCATATACATACTATATATGTACATGCATATATACCATATTTGTAATTTTAATTTAATTCGTAATATTACATTAGTTTAATTGCGATTATAAGTCCGGAAAACCAATTCGACGCGCAGTTCGAATGACTACAAATATCCATGTATATATACAGTATATGTATGATTCACATTGAATTATTTAACGATCTAGCTTCGGTATAGATATCTAAAGGACATTAAAATCGGTGAGGTGATACACCTAAAATTAATATTTACCAAGAATTATTCTGTAAATTAGAATTTATGATTGTGAAAAAGTCTTAAAAGTTGTTACAAGAGCTAAGCATTTAATCGCACCGGATATAGCAGCTTTGATACGCTCACAGGCATACAGATAACTAGTCTTATTTGTTTCGATCGACGAATCCAAGGGATTTGTCTCCCACCAGACTTTCTCCACTACGTTCGTTAATCCACCTTCATCAAGCGGTTTCACGTGTACAAAGTTGGCAAAACGTACGCGATCGAACAACAGGTATTGTAGAAAATATTGCCGTGTGACAGTGTGCTGACAGATCTTAGTCAGCAGTATTAAGCTCTTGCACTGATCCGGATATTCGAGTAGCAAAGAAACGTGTCGAAAGGTGGACAGTAAGTGGAGCACTGTGCTTTCCAAGCACATTTTAATTTCGTGCTCCTCCAGAAATGTCCACAGCAGATCCAGACAAACAATCGATCGCGTGCTGTGAATATTTGAGTGAGCGGATTTCATCGCAGAGTCATCGGTGGTCAGATTGCAGAGCATTTGTATGAATGGCACGAAAACTGTCTCGGTAACATAAGGAATGGTGAGCAACGGGCCAATATGTTTTAGTATGGATCTCGCTAGGCACATGAGGAACGCATGGGCACTCATAGTCTTATCATCCAATAGAATATTCTGTTTGTCAACGTTCTTAGAATATTCCAGCAGTTCGATAACTTGCGAGAACCACTGAAAAAGAAGCATGGCTTGCCGAACTTGCTTCATCGGCGGTACTTGCAGAGATTTGTAATCCTCAATTGGATATCTAAATGGTATGGAGCCAAAGTTGGCTGTTAGATTCTCAGTGAAAGCCAGGCTAACGGTAGGAAAGTATGCCATTCCAGCGCCCATTGGTATATTCTCGAACGCTCTGCCCAGACTCCTGCCATTTCTGTAGAAATCTATTGTTCCATTATCCATGTCCAGCGCGCAACCGATAATGTCTCCTGTTAACCAGGCTTCGCCATACTTGTGCGTATTCACGTTCCATTTCCGCACACGATTTCCATCATAAGCGTATGAGTTTGGAGTGTCTCCTGAAGAAGAAATAGTAGACTTAGTTATTAATAAATTTAAACTAATATAATTTATAAAAATAAATTTTTACAATACTATTAGAGACTGTATAACTATGATCACAAGCGATTTTGTTAAAAACAAGAGAGAAAAATATACATATTTCTTTTTCCTCTGTGTACTTATACTATCTCACACTTTAACTTATATCTATAACTTTATTAAGATTATAGAGGTAGTATAAGTTAGAATGTGTGTGTGTGTGTGTGGGGGG